AGCTTTTTTTAAAAAGTCGGTGTGCTTTTTGTTCGTTGAAATCTCTACTTTCTGATGGTGTAAAAAAAATATACATTACTATGGTAAATGTTCTCAGAAAATGCAAAAAATATTATAATGAATAACGAAAAAAACTCGAATTTGAAAATTTATTTTAATCATTATGTACAATTTCATAAAAAAAATGGGATTGTTGCAATTTTTTTTAGTTAAAAAGTTTATTTATTAAATTCTAATAACATTTATGTCAGAAAATGTCATAAAATATAAAAATACATGTAAACAGTGGCGTGCAGGACGGGCCCCGCAGGGCCCGCGGTGCGGGGGGGCCCCCGACCTTAGGGGGGCCCCGTAGAGAACCACATTGGATGGTATAAGTGACAAAGGGGCCCCAGCTCAAAATTTGCGGGGGGGCCCCCGATCACCTTTGCACGCTACTGCATGTAAATCATACTATTGAATTTAGATACTTCATTCTGATTACGTTATTCATTATAATATTTTTTGTATTTTCTGAGAACATTTACCATAGTAATGTATATATTTTTTTACACCATCAGAAAGTAGAGAGTTCATCGAACAAAAAGCACACCGACTTTTTTCCTTTAATTTTTATTATATTCCCCTCCTTTTCCAATGGGTTTCATCCTACTGTTATTTTTTTCTCTTTTTACCATAATTATGGAGCCGTTTTAGGAAAACTGGAGGCCCGGCCGAGCAGCATTCAGCACGTGGACGCTCTACAACTGCATCTTTAAATAGATTTTTACCTTTACTGCTAGAAGGTAACCTACAATTACAGCACCTGAATTGATTACGGCATTATAAAGGGCGGATAGCTCAATCATTGTCGAATATACTGTGAGAAATCCTTTTTACGAAGCTAATCCTTTTAGTCGTCGACCACTCAGATTTCCATAGACGAATCCAGGTTTGGATTTCATCCTCATTCTAGTTGTTGCAACGCCATATTGTGCCTAATAAGAGCGCATCTTAATATTCCGGCTCTGTTTATTCTCTGACGTCATCCAGTGACAAAAGTACGTTGTCGCTGCACGTGCCTACCCAGATAGCAAAATGTAGTCACGATGCGCGCACAGTGAGTGCACGCGTGCGTCTTTAAACAGCACGCGTGCGCGCAGATCACTACACAGATGCGCTTACATATGCGTCTCATATGCAGCGCACGTGTGCCGGTGCACTTAAAGCGCACGTGTGCCGATGCATTTCCAGCGCACATTAATGAGTCAAAAAAATTGTATATTTCAAAAGGAAATGCATATATAACGACGGGTTTAATGCAAAATGGCACAAGCGCCAAATTTTTCGAAAAATTGTTAGAAGTACAGGTTGATAGAGAATTAAATTCTCTAGCTATAGCTGTAACAATTTTTTTTAAATTTTAACGTTTGTGCCGTTTTGCCTTAAACCTGTTGATATATATTTTGTTTTAGGTTTCCACGGGCGCAGGGCTCCCAGCAGGTAGTTTTTTTAAAGACTTGTCTATATTTTTGTCTTAAGTCTATGAAAGTCTATTTTTTTACCTAAAGTCTATAAAGTCTATATTTTCTGTTACAATCAACTATTAAAAAATATTTTTTTAAATATAAATATTCAGTTTTATAAATATCGAAACCACAGTAAACCAAGTGAAACATTCGAAAACTTCGCCAAAATTATTGCTGAATTGTTTCTGGTTTGGTCTAGGGTTTCGTTTACGTTTATAGTTTCGGTTCGCTAGGTTATCACTACCTATGCATTTTTCATGAAATTAGTAAGTACCTAGTATCTATCAAAGAACATGTGACAAAGAATGTGTTCCTATTCTATGTTTTATCATCCATTCCATAACCCTAAAAAAATATGTTCAGACGATAGCAAAGGTAAGTGTATAACTATAGTTTTGATAATTAAAAATTATACATTTATATTATTTAATAAAAACAAAGTTTAAATGTACTTGTACTGACATAAAAAAAAAAATTGAACGATTAAGGAAGGGTGCAGAAAATAAAAAAATGACTAAAATATGTATGGCTCAACTAATGTTTGAAGGGGTGAACCATCCCAAAAAAGAAGCGGGGAAGGTAACTTACAAGATTAGTCGTCTTGCCCAAGATTTAGAAAAACGAAAGGCGAAAATTATAGATCAACTGCAGCCCACCAAAAAAAATATAACCCATTAAATGACTGATGCCAGTGCCTTTTATATAAATGTGATTCTATTTATTATAAGTTATAATTTATTACAGAATTTAATATAATAATTTTTTGTTATTTATGTATTTTATAACAGTTATGGTTACTTGTTAAATTTAATTCAATAAAAATTTATAATTTCCAGTTATCTCTATGTATTTTAAATTCAAATTTAGATCTTTTATCCCAAAAAAATGTATACCTCCATTTTATAGTTATTTCGGTAATTAATTTGGTCTATATTTGGTCGTTTATTTTTTATTATTAGTCTCTTAAGTCACTATTTCTCGCAACATGGACTGCTGGGAGCCCTGAGCGTCACCTGACTTTTTCCAAATTTGTTAATCGTTCTTGTATGTAAAACTCCGTGTGCCACTTCTGATGCGTCACAAAAGCCGTTGAGTTGAATTTGATCCTTGTTTGTTGGGGAGTAATCTATCGGAAAATATGAATATCTTCGACACTTTCCAGTTGTATGTTGAAGTTATCCCATTTATGTTTTATATTTGTCTCACACAGTTTACAGCATACAGGGATGGTAATGGGCTTTTAGGCCGTTTAATAAACAAAGATGCATGCTATATAAAACATACGAATAAGTGAGATAAACGTATAAATAAGAGAGACAAACAACCATTGTTGAACGAATAGGAGAACAAAATACTTATTTCCCCTCTGCCATAAGCGTGCAGTACAAGATTTTAAAACGAATAAATCAAAACAATTAAACGTCCGCCAATGTTTTACTTCCCCTACTCTAACTGCTTTCCAATCCCACTACTAGATAACCTTGACGCAAATTTCGGAATCGAGTCTCGAAATAACTTCAGTATTATTCGGTCCACGTTGGAGTGCGGACGGAGGAATTTTAAATTTTCTTTAAAATTTAACTATGATTTTGTTTACAAAAACGAATACTTATTGAATTTTTTTCGAAAATGTGGAAAATAAACCATAGTATTCTTGTAATAAAAAAAACAAATATTCTTAAACAAAAATGGTATTCTAAAATGTTTAAATAAATAAATTAAAGTAAATGTTTAAACAAAAATGGTATTCTAAAATATTTAAATTAAAAAATAAATAAAGTAAATGTTCAAACAAAAATGGTGTTCTAAAATATTTAAATAAAAAAATAAATAAATCAAAGTAAATGTTCAAATAGGCCCCCAAAGGCTGCTGTACAATAGGTTAACCTATTATAAAAATTTTGTCGTACATTTGACAGCATCTCAGGTCTGATATTCCTTAATGTATTAATTATTAATTCTCTTAATTCATCAAGGTTATTTGCCCTGATATGCTGGAATCCGTACATTTTGGATTTGGCATATCCCCACATAAAAAAATCGCACGGAGCCAAGTCCGGTGATCTTGCTGGCCAGAGAATATTTCCGTGACCACTTATTATGCGGTCTGCAAAAGTGTCTTGCAAATATTCTCTTACCAATAGGGTATTATGTGCGGGACATCCATCCTGTTGACTGGTTGACTGGGTTGGATCTTGTTCGATGCTTGCACAAATTAAAGTGTCCCGTAATTCGCGTTCTTCATTTACTGGCCTTGCTTGCGGTTCCCTATTATGAACCCTATTAACACTGCCGAATGTTAAAAAATTATTTACAACATTTTGAATTGTTGCCCTTGCTGGTAAGGGTCTATTTGGGAACATATTTGGAAATAATCTTTGAATTTCTCGATCTGAGATCCCATTTAAATGCCACGTTATAAATTGAATCTTTTCTTCAAGGGTGTAAACCATTTTTATTAGAGAATATTTCCTAATTTATAACAAACGTACTACCTTACTTACAACACACTCTCTTGTCTGCGGTCGGGCGATGATCGTAGCCGCGCGGCGCGGTCTGGCTTGCCCCACTACTCTTACGTCACTCCACCACTCCCACGTCTCATAATGCATTTGTCTTTATTATTTATTAAACGGCCTAAGAGCACATTACCATCCCTGTATATAAAACATATTGGACCAGTCAAGTAAAATTACAAAATAATATATAAAATCACTAGAAAAACCAAAAAGAAAAATATTTTAAAAATTATCATTAAGAAACTCTTTCACAGAATAGTATTTTTTCTCTAAAAACCATTTACAATAAGACCCAATAGACATAATTTTATTATAACATTTAATTCCCAAATAAATAAAAGAGAGAGCCTAAACAAATATTAGAAATACTCCCCAACACCAAAACAAAACACAAAGTGCTTAAAGTACTTTTCTCCAACGATGTTGGCATCTTCAGAAGCGAAGTTTTCATCGTTGTCGAAAAGTACTTTAAGCACTTTGTTTTGGTGTTAGGGAATATTTTTAATATTTGTTTAACATATCACCAAAGTTGTCCTTTTTTAAGTAAGAGAGAGCCTATAAAGTGGCAAAGCTAGCTCATTTTGACTTCTTGTTGAATAACTATGTACCTATGTATTTTTTATTTCATAAATATTTAAAATCAAATTTAATATGTGTAAACAGGGAAGAGTTAATATTCTGTATTTCATAAACAATGGTTTACAAGAAAATGTTTGACTTGTTATCCATGCAGGATTATTTGATATTTTTTTATTCACATCATGCCATAAGTACCCAAAAATTTAATCTTCAATCTTATTTATTAAGTCTTATCAAAATTTAATATCGAATTGAAGTATTAAGGCGCCTTTATCTACTTTATCGTTCAAGCACATTAAAGTGCATGCACTTTAATGTGCATCATTCATTTTTGACATTTAAAATTTAAACTTTAAATTGTATTTTTACTTGAAAGTGATTTTAAGAACCAAAAATGAAAAAAGAGCAGGAAATGGAAGTGGCAGAAAAAGAGAAAGGAGACGTTGTCGTCGTTGTAAATTTGTTTTGTTTATGTTGCGGTCTCTTTACGCCCAAGAAAAACCAACGCAATATTTCATTACAAAATTTTATGAGATATACCTACTACTTTAATTTTGCAGGAATATTAAATGGGCCTGATATTAGATGTTTAATAAAAGATCAAGCATTCAAACATGCTCTCAAAGTTGACGAGCTTGTCGCATATGGCAGTGTTAAAGCTGTCATTGAAAATGTTATTGGTTCATATCGGGCCTAAAATTGGGGCCAATTCATTGAAAAAATGCTTCCTGCTTTATAAAGAATTAGCGTTAATATGTTATTTAAAATACATTTTCTTTATTTTCATCCTGATAAATTTTCCGAGCTGTTGAACATGGAGAACGATTTCACCAAGTAACTGCAAATCTAGAGCATTGGTAGACATTTGCTGGAATTTGCAGCAAAAAATGTACGACGATGATGAGAATTAAGCACAATAATACTATAATTCAACTCGATATTTAATACGATTTAATAAATTTAAAGTAGAAAAGAGCAAAATTATGCAATGCATTAAATTTTGTGGGCTTAATTTGGATAAAAAATACCGAAACTTGTTTACTTTGTTGCCCTTTTAATTCAATAATTAAAATAAACGACAAAAAATAATGGTTATTTTTTTACATAAAATACATTAAAATTTTAGTTTTAATATTTAAAATGTCCTATTGTTAAGTTAAATATGATCTATTTGACGTATACCAATTACTTCAGTACATTCAAGATAAATTTAAGCCAAAATAATTTAATAAATAATTAAAATACTAACAAAAAAACTTACATTTTGAGATGATTGAGCAAAGTATTTTATTACGAAATTATTTTAAATCCTAGACGTTCTAGAGAAAAACTAAAATTTTTGAAATCTGCGGCCCAAAATTAGTTAAACTAAGCTGGAGTACTCAATGTTGGAAAAAAAAAGTTTCTAAAACTATCATAGTGTAAAAACTCAAAGCTGGCCTGGATTTAATATTTTCAAAGCTGCTTAAAAAAGTATTTATTATCTACTTGTTCCGGTTACTTACCTTATTAACTTATCAATTAATACCGGTATATATCCAAATACACTAAAGACAGCTTAAGTCATTCCAATTTATAAAAAGGGTAAACCGAGAAAATATGGAAAATTATAGGCCAATATCTTTGATTTCCTCTATATCAAAGGTCATTGAAAAAATAATTAGCTTAAAAAGAACAAATTTTCTCACAAATTTCGGTATTTTATCTTCTGTCCAACATGTTTATTAATAATAACAAATGTGTCGGTATTGTCCTAGATTTAAGCAAAGCCTTTGATTTGGTGAATCATTCATTGTTGTTGGAAAAGCTTAATAAGTATGGATTAAGAGGTAGAATTTCGGATTGGTTGGAAAGTTATTTATCAAACAGGGAGCAAATAGTAGAAATCAAGGGTATTAAATCTAATACTCTTAAAATTGAGTGCGGTGTGCCTCAAGGATCAGTTTTGGATCCACTTCTTTTTGTAATCTTTATCAATGAATTGGCAAATGTAGTAGATTCTAGAGACCCAGTTCCATTTTCAGACGATACGTCGATTTTTAAAGCTAAAAACAAAATATCAGATAAAATTTTAAAATCTCAAGAAATATTAAATAATGTAGTTGAATGGTTTAGAAATAACTATTTATTTATAAACCCTTCAAAAACAACTTTTTTACCAATTGAATTAAAATCATCTGCAGATAAAAGCTATTTGATAAGAATTGATAATAAAAGTATCCAACAAGTAAAGGTGGCTAAGTTTCTGGGCTTACATATAGACAAAGGCCTTCGCTGGGAACTCTCTAGTTTACTTTCCTCTAGCTGTTATGTACTGTACCGATTAAATCAGGTTGCTAGTAGACGTAATCATGGCGTACTATTTTGCACATTTTTACTCATGCAATAATTGTGTGATAATGTTTTGGGGCAAATCAAGTTCTTCTCAAAAAGTTTTTAGGTTGCAAAAGATAGCTAGCTATTCGAAATATTATTGGAGCGTCTAAATTAACATATTGTTGAAATATCTTCCTATTTATGTTGGCATCAAATTGTTTAATAAACTACCTAGGTCTTTAAAAATAATAATAATAATAATAATCTTTATTGGCCACATTATGTTTACGGAAACATTTTTGACAAGTCAACATTGAAATAAATAAATAATAAAATACATAATAATATATTACATAGTAAGAATACAAGGCACTAACGTAGAACGTACAGATACAAAACACTTGTAGACAGGTACATTGCTTTATTTTACGGTATTTAGATATTTCTCCACAGAGTAAAAATAAAAACTTAATAGGTATTTTTTTAAGGTGGTCTTAAATTTATCATAGCTTAGTGATTTTAAGTCGTTATTAAGTACGTTGTATAGGTTAACGATTAAGGAATTTCTTAAGACCTTGGAGAGTCTGTACCTGGGAATTCTTATTTGTGACTTAGTCCTAGTGTTGTGGTCATGGATGTCCCAACCCTTTTTCAAGGAATGACAGTTTTTGTGAACTTCTAAAAGTGTCACGTAAATATACAGTGTTGGTAGAGGCATAATACCCAATTCCTTAAAATGAGGTTGACAACCTTCATAATATCCCAAACTGCATAGGATTCTTAAGGCTCTTTCCCCATAGAAGGATTCCATACGATAAGTGAGAGTGGAATAATGAAAAATAACTTGATCTTAGAATGCTCCAAGAAAGAGTTTTTTTCAATTGTCTTAAAATAAAGTTAACTGTTGAGAGTTTATTATATAATTGATGTATATGAGGATACCATGAAAGTTTAGGATCAAGGTGCAAGCCTAGTAGCTTCACACTATCTACATTGTCAGTGATTGCCCTCATTGAGAAGACTAAGCTGAGTTTTTTTCAATATTTAAGGTAAGTTTGTTCGAGGTGAACCACTTCTCTGCCTTCTTCATACCATCGAAACTGGTTTCATATAAGTTGTTAAGCATATTATTGCTATTCACAATCGTGGTATCATCAGCGAAAGAGTAACAATAAAAAGGCATCATATAATTAAAAAGGTCGTTAATGTAAATTATAAAAAATAACGGGCCCAACACGGAACCCTGAGGTACTCCTTGTATCATGGGTAGCCTATTTGACAGTTTATTTTCTATGGACACTTGTTGATGCCTATTCGATAGGTATGACATAAAAAGAGAGAGAGCGGTGCACCTCGAACGCCATAGTGGGACATCTTTTCCATTAAGATTAAAGAATATTTAAGCTGTTCAAAAGTCAATTGTACTTATTAGGGAGTTTCATTTTTCCAAAGATGTGATTTACATACGACTTTGCTTACGCCCCGAGTCTCAGTGATGAAAAAGATATATATGCCAAATTTCAAGAAGATTAGATTCTCATACTAGTGAAATTTAGGTATCCAGAATTTTGTTGGAAAGGAATTTGTTTGAACCAGTTTTATTTTATTTGCAAGGTTATTTAATTTAAGATCATTTAATTTGTAAGGTAAAATAATAATTGTTATTGTAATAACATTAATCCATATTAATCTCTGCATTTATAAATAGGTATACCTAAATTGGTTTAAATTCCCTCACAACAATTGACAACCTCAGTTATAGAACCGAAATTAAACTTTAAAATGGAAACCAAAAGAGGAATTTGGCTGCTAGAAAAGGTGCCTAGTGATGAGTTTTTAGGAGCGCGGCTCCCTTCAAAGGAACAAGTACTTTTAGTTTTTATTTACCATCACAAGGAAATGAAAGAAACACTTTCGGGTGCTGCTAAATCTACAGAAAGTGTGGAGGAAAGCAAATATTCCTGTTAAGACGGAGGAGAATATCTGTGCTGGTATACAGAAACTGTACAAAGAATACCAAAATATGGGTAAAGAGAAATCAAGAAACAAAGATAAAGCAAATGTGAGAAGGCAGATTTGGAAAGGTGATCTCGTCGAGTTATTTGACATTTCCCGGCAAAATATGATGGAAATGTCTAGCGTATCACAAGAAGATAAAGAATTTCTTAGGTCACAAAGAGAAGATCGTATGAGTTCGTCAATGGGTGGAGTAGACAAGGTTTTCGCCTCGAAATTAAGTGTACAGAAGAAGAAAAAAAAGAATCATATAAGAATAAACATTACAAAGCTATCACTGAAATTAATAAAACAGTAATAATGAAAGACTTATCTTCATCATCATCAGCACCAAGTGACGAAGAGGCCGAGTTTTCCCCTCCAGCAAAAAAAAAATTACGTTCAATTCCTATATTAAAACCTCTTGATCAGACACTTACGTCCACTTGGGATCGAGAACAGCTCTCTATTAGACAAGCAAGTACTTCATTTATAGCAACTGCAAAGAGCCTTGGCCACGATGTTTCAAAACTTTCCGTATCTCCATCGAGCGTTTATCGAGCTCGGGCGATCAATAGAAGGAAAATGGCAAAGAAAATCGAAGAGTCGCTCTTTGAAAATCTCCCTCATTTGATCTTGCATTGGGATAGTAAACTGTTGCCCTCAGTTGCCCATAGAAGTGTCAAAACTTTGGAAGATAGAGTTGCAGTTCTAGTGAGTGGCAAAGATTTTGAGCATTTGCTTGGCGTACCTGTTGCCCTGAAAGGCACTGGTGAGCAGATGGCTGAAGTAGTTATTCGGGAAGTGGACCGATTTGGGCTACGTGACAATATCATCGGTATATCTTTTGATACTACAGCATCTAATACAGGACTGATACAAGGGGCATGTACCAAAATTGAAAGGGAATTCGGATGAACATTGTTGTGGTTGGCTTGCCGTCATCATACTCATAAAATAATAATAAAAGGAGTGTTTAAGGAGTGTTGTAGCGTACCATCAAGTGGTCTGGAAATCCAAATTTTTCAAGAGTTAAAAACTTTGTGGGCTTCACTTGATAAGAAGTCATATACGACAATGCTGGATAAAGAAAGTCCCGTTCAAGGCTTTCTAGAGGAACAACGAGTGAAAATGGTTAACTTCATCCAAAATGTCCTAAAAGACGGAAGTCATCCAAGAGAAGACTACAAAGAGTTATTACAACTCTCACTTCTGTACCTAGGGGGTTGGTCCAAAAACGACTTTAGTTTCAGGATCCCAGGGGCTCTGCATCAAGCAAGGTGGATGGCAAAGGCAATATATGCACAAAATTGTTCTCTTCACTAAACAGTTGAATATTCCTATTCAGGCATAATAATATTATAGAAAGCTTTAAAATTATTTAAC